TTTTTTTGTTTTAAGATAGCGACCTTCATGTCTGTGATTGCGTGACCAGAGAGATTGAAGTGTTCTCCGACTGGTTTATGAATGTTATAATTCTTGACATCTGATTTGTGTCCATTTATTCTTTTACGTAGAGACTGTCCAGTTTGACCAATGTACATGGCAGAGGGGCATTGCTGGCACATGATGGCATATATCACATTGGTGGATGTGCAGGTGAACGAGCCTCTGATAGTGTGGCTGATGTTATTAGGCCCTGTGATGGTGTCCCCTGAATAGATATGTGGGCACAATTGGCAACGGGCCTCCAACGCATTATTAAGGATCTACAACCTATCCTAAAGGATGACCCAACACTCTCACAAGTCTTGGGAGACAGGCCAGTCCTTGCCTACAGACAGCCCCGCAACCTGAAGCAAATACTCACCAACAACCACATACCACACAACAGAACCACTAACCCAGGAACTTATCCTTGCAACAAAGCCCGTTGCCAATTGTGCCCACATATCTATTCAGGGGACACCATCACAGGGCCTAATAACATCAGCCACACTATCAGAGGCTCGTTCACCTGCACATCCACCAATGTGATATATGCCATCATGTGCCAGCAATGCCCCTCTGCCATGTACATTGGTCAAACTGGACAGTCTCTACGTAAAAGAATAAATGGACACAAATCAGATGTCAAGAATTATAACATTCATAAACCAGTCGGAGAACACTTCAATCTCTCTGGTCACGCAATCACAGACATGAAGGTCGCTATCTTAAAACAAAAAAACTTCAATTCCAGACTCCAGCGAGAAACTGCTGAATTGGAATTCATTTGCAAATTGGATACTATTAATTTAGGCTTAAATAGAGACTGGGAGTGGCTAAGTCATTATGCAAGGTAGCCTGTTTCCTCTTTTGTTTTTCCCTACCCCCCCCCCCCCCCCGATGTTCTGGTTTAACTTGGATTTAAACTTGGAGAGTGGTCAGTTTAGATGAGCTATTACCAGCAGGAGAGTGAGTTTGTGTGTGTATGGGGGTGGGGGGGATGTGAGAAAACCTTGATCTATGCAGGAAATAGCCCGACTTGATTATGTAAAGAGTTGTCACTTTGGATGGGCTATCACCAGCAGGAGAGTGAATTTGTGTGGGGGGGTGGAGGGTGAGAAAACCTGGATTTGTGCTGGAAATGGCCCACCTGTTGATCACTTTAGATAAGCTATTACCAGCAGGACAGTGGGGTGGGAGGAGGTATTGTTTCATATTCTCTGTGTGTATATAAAGTCTGCTGCAGTTTTCACGGTATACATCTGATGAAGTGAGCTGTAGCTCACGAAAGCTCATGCTCAAATAAATTGGTTAGTCTCTAAGGTGCCACAAGTACTCCTTTTCTTTTTGCGAATACAGACTAACACGGCTGTTCCTCTGAAACCATGCTATGACATGGAATTCTTAGCACAGTTTTCTCACACCAGCTTCCATGCCTGCTTTCACTTCTGCAGCTTGAAAAGCTGCTCATCCTGCAAAAACATTGATGTAAGATCTTTAAATGCCACAATAATCAAAATCAATTTTCATCCCAGAAGGCAGAAAACAGATTCAAAAGGTCATCAATTTAGGTGGTCCTGAAAACTTCAAGGGAATATGGGGGGAGAGAGGTGGGAGAACACTTCTGCACCAGGATTCTGTACCGTAAGAGATCTAAAGTAAAGGCTAGACATTTCCTTCCATAGACTACAATTTAATGAACTTGTTTGAGGAGAAATAGGTGGATTATAATAGAAAACCTATGTGTGCCTGCTTCAAGTTACATTTTACTACTTCTGCCAAGGTCATTGTTGAGACCAGAGTTTCTGTCATGAAAGTGCCAGTGACAAAAGTTAATAATAGTATCACAGGAATTAGAAATAGGAAAGATCTATGACAGTGGGGTCATCTGGTCCACCCTCCTGCCAGTACAAAATTGTTCTCCAGTGCGTTGGCTGGTCTTATTTAAACTGACTCAAGAGATGGGGCAGTCCTCATTGGAGAATAGTGGGCAGTATAACAGCTCATGCTCAGGAAATTGTTCCTGATATTCCACTCACATTTTCCCATTAATTTTGTTGCATTGCCCCTCGTTACACCATCTGGCCTCCCCTCCCTTGAACAATCCAAGGTTTTACTAATTGATGAAAAAATCTCAACCCCAGTGTGTAAATAGTAAGATGTTGAGAATCTGGCACAAAGCTGCATGTTACACAAACTCAAGTGGAAAACAGAGCAAAACAAGTCTAGGCGGAGATTTTCGAAGGTGCTCAGGAGATTAATGCACACATCTTTTCTCTGTTTTGCACTCAAGTGGGTGTAACATGCTGATTTTTGTGAATTCTGAAGTGTCCCATCACATGCAAAGCATTTGGGGCTCAATCTTGCAAAATGATCTTATCCAGCACAGCACCTAAGCATGTGCTTAACTTTAAACATGCTTATTGTCAAGCATGTGGTTAATCCCACTGAAGTCAATGAGGCTATTCATGTGCTTAAACGCTTTGCTGGTGTGGGGCTGGAGTTTTCAGCACTTTGTAGCATAGATTTCTTGCTGCCAAGAAAAAACATCTTCCTAATAATGAATTGTCTATGATTATTGAAGCCCCATAGGGTGTGTCTACACTGTATACTGAAGCTGGGCTCTGACTCAGGTTGGAGCCCAAGCCCCACTTCTGTCCACACATAAATCAGTCTGATTTGGGTCAGCAAGCACTCAGGTCCTGAGTCCTAGGGCCCTGCTAGTTGGGTGGATCAGAGCCTGAGTCCCACTGTGACTTGGGTCCAAGCCCTGTCATTTAGCAGTGTGGATGCAGCTTGAACCACAGACTCAAGTCAGAAGGTGTGTGACCTTCGAGTCAGAAGGTCTTCACAGTATGGACATATTAGCATAACTGTGAGACCCAGGTCCAGCAACTATAAACTTGTCAGCAAGTTAAGGAAGTATGGGCTGGATGAATGCACTATAAGGTGGGTAGAAAGCTGGCTAGATTGTCGGGCTCAACGGGTAGTGATCAATGGCTCCATGTCTAGTTGGCAGCCAGTGTCAAGTGGAGTGCCCCAGGGGTTGGTCCTGGGGCCGGTTTTGTTCAATATCTTCATAAATGATCTGGAGGATGGTGTGGATTGCACTCTCAGCAAATTTGCGGATGATACTAAACTGGGAGGAGTGGTAGATACGCTGGAGGGGAGGGATAGGATACAGAAGGACCTAGACAAATTGGAGGATTGGGCCAAAAGAAATCTGATGAGATTCAATAAGGATAAGTGCAGGGTCCTGCACTTAGGACGGAAGAACCCAATGCACAGCTACAGACTAGGGACCGAATGGCTAGGCAGCAGTTCTGCGGAAAAGGACCTAGGGGTGACAGTGGACGAGAAGCTGGATATGAGTCAGCAGTGTGCCCTTGTTGCCAAGAAGGCCAATGGCATTTTGGGATGTATAAGTAGGGGCATAGCGAGCAGATCGAGGGACGTGATCGTTCCCCTCTATTCGACATTGGTGAGGCCTCATCTGGAGTACTGTGTCCAGTTTTGGGCCCCACACTACAAGAAGGATGTGGATAAATTGGAGAGAGTCCAGCGAAGGGCAACAAAAATGATTAGGGGTCTGGAACACATGACTTATGAGGAGAGGCTGAGGGAGCTGGGATTGTTTAGCTTGCAGAAGAGAAGAATGAGGGGGGATTTGATAGCTGCTTTCAACTACCTGAAAGGGGGTTCCAAAGAGGATGGCTCTAGACTGTTCTCAATGGTAGCAGATGACAGAACGAGGAGTAATGGTCTCAAGTTGCAGTGGGGGAGGTTTAGATTGGATATTAGGAAAAACTTTTTCACTAAGAGGGTGGTGAAACACTGGAATGCGTTACCTAGGGAGGTGGTAGAATCTCCTTCCTTAGAGGTTTTTAAGGTCAGGCTTGACAAAGCCCAGGCTGGGATGATTTAACTGGGAATTGGTCCTGCTTCGAGCAGGGGGTTGGACTAGATGACCTTCTGCGGTCCCTTCCAACCCTGATATTCTATGATTCTATGATTCTAAACCTAGGTCCAGCACACCCAGGTTTAGAGTGCAATGTAGACCTACCCATAGAAATATTATGGTAAATTGGGCAAAGCACAGGGACCAGTCCTGTACTGGTGGAGAACAGGGAGGATGTAAAAGATGTGCTAACAAGATGTTCCCATCTGTAATTTCTAGGATTAATTTATCTAATGTCTTATTGAAAACATTTTATGCTATGGTCCCTCTGCTTGTCCTTATTAATATGCAGCCTTTAAAATATTATGATTTATTTACTTATCCTATTTATAAATTGTGCCAACTAAAGTCTTTTCAAAACACATTTATAATTTAAAATATTCAGTGCAACATATGTCAGCTGAGCCAATATTGACTAATTCTGCAATACTGTACTTCCCATCAACCAAAATAACCCACTGCACACCTCTGCAAGCAACTTCTTCGGTTAAAGGAAACAGGCCTTGCAGTGTTTTAATAACTGAAAATTGATTATGCTTCTTTGCTCCTTATAGGCATTCCCATTGCTACAAAATGTAGTATCAGTTGAGTAAACAGCACATAAAACTAGCCAAAATCTTAAAGTTGTGGGACCTATCCTTGCAACTTAACATATAGCTCTACATATTTTTTCCATATCCTCACAACCCTGCTGGTACAAGTGGTGGAAATGTAATAGTTGTATGCAAGGGAGGTTTTTTGATTCCTTGCCTTCAGCAAAAATTAGTTAATGATATTCGTTCCAATACAGTATGGTACAAATGGGGCACATTAAATGGCTTAAATTAGGTCAAATTGAATAATTGAATTTATTCTTTTACTTAAAAACAGCTTAATCAGCTGAGAGTGCTGGAGTCTAAAAATAGTTTAATTAAATATTAACCAGGTGTTTATGTTTTGAGCTTCTTTATCGTTACTTGCTGCTGTTTTATTTATATTTCTATATTTTTCCCTGTTGCAGCTATGTGGGGATGAAGTTCAGCTGTTCTCCCTTGATGAAGAATTTGACTATGACAGTGTGGCATTGACCCCCAAGTTCTCTGAGGCTGAGATGAAAGCCATTATAAACTTGTCTGTACAGAAAAAAGTAAGGCTTGGCCTCAAGTCACCAGGATGTGAAGACTGAAGCTGACGTACCTTGCTGGGCATTCTGTTATTCAGCTGGAAAAATATTTTTAAGGGGAAAATCCAGCTCCTTCTTCTGCCATCATAGAGGGGCTCTTTTGCAATAGAGCCAGTGTGGGCCTGTCATAGAACCTGTGGGATGTTCATATACCCTGTGCAGCATGGGGCTGAAGTAGCCTCTACGTAGTATTATTATTCATTATTTGTATTACTGTAGTGCTTAGGAGCCCTAATCATAGATCAGGACCCCATTGTACTAGGTGCTGTTCAAACACAGAACAAACAGATGGTCCTTGCTCCAAAGAGCGTACAGTCTAAGCATAGCAGCTCCACAGCCTGGAGGGTAGATTCCTCTCTCTCTGCCCCCTTTACATATCCCTAGAACCACTTTCCTAGGTACTCATACTGGATGCTCTGATCTGGATTTGTTCCTATATGCATACAATTCCTACATAGATCAGTGGGTTTTGAAAGACTTAAGCCCTGGTTCTCAGCCCCAGTTCCACTTGCTTTGTTGTTCTCTGGCAGCACAAAGCAACAGGAATGGTGCCTTAAAAGGCAGCTAGGAATTCCTGGGGTGAAGAAAAATCCTTGAGTAGCATATAATGCTCACAGTGCTAGAATAATGACTCCTTAGCGGGTCAGTATAAGCTGGTGTAAATTAGAGCAGCTCTATGGCTGCTCCAACTACATTTTGTGCTGGCTTCAGCTCCCAACCAGCCCAGTGCTGTCTCAGAGCCGTTTTTGCCTGGCTCCCTCAGGAGTGTAAACACGAGCTTGTGGCAACTGAGCATTCAGCCTTTAGTCTCTTTTTCTAGCATTATAAAGTGTAAAGATACAGAACTGTAGACCAATGATCCAACCCAGGAAGAATTTTGAGACCTGTGTGATTTCAGTTCTTCAGACTAGTAATATTCCTATTTTTTCAGTGTTTTTTCCTAACCTGAGTTTGAATTAAGTGTGTATAATTCCTGAAAAATCACAGTAATGTCTCTTTTTTTTGGTCACAAAAAAGTCTTCAGGGCAGGAGAAGCAGAAAAGCAGTGATTTCACCCATTACCTAACTTGACGAATAAAATTTAGTCTGTAAATATGGAAATTTCATACATTTATATAGGAAATGGTCCCAAGGTTTTTCATCATATGATATACATTCAGCATCACTGAAATGCAGCAGCCTGTGGGGTGGAGAGTGAAAGTGCATACAACATGCTGCATAGCATGTGAGGGAAGGAGAACATGTGGCCAAAGGCCCTGGGGAAAATGCTTGCTCTTACATGGAGAGTCATGAGATATGTAGGACTCAATCCTTCTTGCTTTCCTTCAGCCATTGGGGCCATTTGCATGAGCAAAAGTACCAACACCTGGTCCATAATGGGTCAGGTACATCCTGGCATAACTCCATTAACTTTAGTTTGTGGACCAACAATTCATCTTTGGCATAATACCATTAACTTTGCGATATAAGATTACAGCAATGGGTGTGGTAAGAATGCCTGGGTAGATAGCTTTGGGTTTGAACAACATGCTGTTTAAACACTTTGAATGAAATCCATAAGGCTGGATGGCTGCTCCAAAGCCAACAGTTTCCATGAGTCAAAAAATGGCATCCTCGTTCCAAAGGAAATGATTTGTTTCAATTATATGGCAAATTATAAACAGGCACCACTGACAGCAGGATATTTTTTGTTTTGATTGATTAGACGACATCATTTGAGGTAGGGTTAATAAACAGGGGAAAGGAAGAAGAGAGTGCTCAGATACTATGCATATAGGCAGTTGTATAAAACCCTAAGATAGGCTAGGTAGAGAAGGTAAAAGGTATAGACCCAACATGGTGGGAGAACATGAGAACATTTTAAAAAACTGTCTTTAAAGCTATGCTAAAGTTGTGGTAAAAATGGACTGAAAACACTCCTTAATTCATTTTGTTTCACCAGGTACAGAGCCCTGTGTATAAAATGGGAGCGGGGGGAGCCATGGCTAGATTTCAGCTGGATGAGAAGGGGGACCTGGAAGGGCATTGTTATAGAAAAGGTTGAGATCCAGTGTATTAAGACATCCAGGCCTCCCTTAAAAAACATTAACTATGGCTCACTGCATCCCTGTGATGTAAGTTCAGTGAAGCTGAATGACCTCAGTAGGCAACTCTCTGTTTAAGAGACCACTGTAAAACATCCCCATAGTCTCCAGACTTTGTTCAACGCCCAGCTGAAGAACCAACACTATTAGGAAACAGTTTTGCAGGTCCATGGGGTGATTTGTTTAGGCCGGGTTTCATTGCATTCGTTGCCCTATTTTCCAGAAGGGTAAACTCAGGCACAGCGAAGTTAAGGGTCAATTCTATTTCCATTGAGGTCAGTGACAAAACTTGGTCAAAGTTGCATAATGACTTAGCGGCAAAGAGTCCTGTGGCACCTTATAGACTAACAGACGTATTAGAGCATGAGCTTTCGTGGGTGAATACCCACTTCGTCGGATGCATGTAGTGGAAATTTCCAGAGGCAGGTATACATTTTCTGGAAATTTCCACTACATTCATCTGACGAAGTGGGTATTCACCCACGAAAGCTCACGCTCCAATACATCTGTTAGTCTATAAGGTGCCACAGGACTCTCAGTCTGGATCTGTAAAAGCAGCAAACATGGCTACCCCTCTGAAGCTTGACATAATGACTCAGTAGCCAAATCTAGCCCTGGTAAATGTAAGCACATCTACTATTGACCCCATTAACAGTTGTGTCTTCTACACTAGGGATGAAGTTAACGACTCCCTTCCCTTTCTTTCAGATAGATACACTTCTCTTACCTACTGCTCAGGTAGGTATGTTCTATACACTGTCATTCAGACTGATCATTACATGGTTCAGTTTGGGATAAAGAAATACACCTCTTTGGTTAATGCTGAACAATTGTTAAACTCTGGTGCAACATTCATCTTGTGCAGAGAGGTGGGATACTTCACTTAGGCCTCTCGTGAATTTTCCTTTTTCCCTTTGCTTATAGAGATAAATATCATAATGGAGAACAGGCAGAGTAAGTTAGACTTGCTGGTCAGTTCATTTTATTGACCTGCTTAGATGTGACTCAGTTGTTAATGTACCATTTCATTGCTTATCTGCTGCTGGGAAACCATATTTCCTATCCTGTAATTATTCATCAAGTCTTTCTTCAGTTGATATTAATACATATATAGATATATATCTGGTATTGTTTAATTGTCGGCATAATAAGACTTTGGGGCCTGACTGATAGATTCCTTCCTCCCCACCCAGTATTTAGAATTTGGCCTGGGGGGAGAAGGGGAGAGAATGACCTAACGCGTGCGTGCACACACACACACACACACACACTTTTTATTTGCAGCCAATTGTACTAAATTAATTTTCCTCTCCTCCAAAATCAGTTCTCCTGTACATGGCAAAAATCCACACAAGAAACAGTTCAAGGTTCCCCCTTGAGGATTTTTTCTCTGGATTGCTCCTTGAGGGTGGGGTATGCCCCCCCTCCCAAAATGACCAGGATTTTGAAATGCAAATCTCACAGATCTTGGAGGATTCATCAGAATGCAGAAACTATAGGGGGAAAATGTAGAAAACGGAGCTTAAATCGTTCATTTGTTAGTTTCAACACGAAGTCCTCTTGCACTCCTTCTCTAACTGCAGACACTTCAGAACAAAGAAATCTAATGCATTTTCAAATCATGTTTAGAGCAGTTATTTTCCCAAGTCAAGTTAGTGTTAATTATAATATAGATTAATACTTTTTTAAGAGGATAACTTGCTTGCAAGTGGTGCTAACACACACACATACAAATAATTCCCATTTCTTTTAAAGTCTTTTAATCTAACCTATCTATATGAGGATTGGGAAAACCTAGGGCAACATTGGGCCTTATGTACACTTTGGAATTTTTTTTAGAAGTCCCTACATTACTCAGAAATAGTGACAGGTTGTTGAAGAGGTTCAGATTTGGGCTCAGAGCCAAACCTTTGTGGTATAGAAATCAACATGGAACCAAATTCCATGTATGGCACAAATCCAACAACCCCATGTATTGCACAATTTGACTAACCAACAACTTGGATGTCAAAATATCCACTTGGCTTGTAGGATGAAAAATGCCCACTATGTTTTTTACCACTCAATTTTAGTAGTACTCAGTGATAGCCTGATTTTTACTTTGGCCCAGATTCTGCAGTCCAACTGAGGGCAGGAAAGGCCAAGCAGAGCATGGTACCTGTTCAATTTCACTTCACCAGGGGCCTGCAGCCTCTTCAGACTGCACCATGAAGGATCCTAAACGCTAGTTCAGTTGCGTGCAGGTATGCACATCTGCTGGTCAAAACTCCCTGCGTAAAGAATTGTGGTGGAGCAGCTGTGGGTGCTACTGCAGCCCTGAAGCTGTCGTATTGGATGCAGAGTGGCAACTGAAAAGGCTGGGGCAAAGATTCATTTGCTCTGATCCCAGCAGACCTCATCAGCACATAGTTCATTTACTGAGGCTGAGTGCTGACGAGAGGACTTGAAAATGTTGGCTTCACAAACCGCAAAAATTCAGCTCACAATAGTTCAAGTGACACATGAAAGATGAGGAAACCCTTGATAATGATTCTTGACAGGCTCACGAGATGAGTTCCCTGCACCACAGAGATGAGCACTTGTGATAAGTAAGGGCATTCCCACCACTATGAACTTTCTTGTGGTGAACTGGCAGTTAGCACAGGTGGGCGTGAGGTGCCACATGTACCTTGGGGGTTCTCTTGAAGGGAATGTATCCTTTTCACGGATTGGTTGGTTGCTTTGGCCAATCCCTGACATCTGAAATTCTGCCAGGTGTTAAATGTCTGCCTGTCCTTTCTGAAAACAAAAAGGTCGTTTTCTCTTAAAGGGTTTTTAATTAAGTTCTAAACTCTTCAAATGATTATGAGTTTGGTAAAGCCGTTTGAGGAGACATCTTGAGGTGACATCTTGTTGGCAAGAGTATTGTACAGCCATATCACATGTTTATGATACTGTCAGATACTAAGGAAGCAAAGTGGAGATATTTTAGCTTTACCACTTGTTTATGAAATGTTTGCAAGAAGAAAAGCAAGGGTTAAGATGTACTGTCATTCTTATAGTCAAGCTAATTTATCTGCAATCACATGGACTCGCAGCTAAATGGAACTCAATTGTAATAAATTATGAGAATGCAAAATGGTTGTCTTATTTACAGAATCTCTGAAAAAGACAATAGCAATGAAAATTCCCCAGAGCAATCAATTGTGATCTTACACAGACTATTGGATATCTTCTTCAGAACAACTATTCACATAATCATGTTTCAAAATAGCAAGTAGGATGGATGTAAACCAAACCCGGGTCTGGTTTCAAGCTGAGCTGCAGGGGCTCACCCTACTCACTATATTAAGGGCCAAATCACACTCCTAGGTCTGAATACCCCAAACTTTGGGGAAGTTCAAACTTGGACCTGTATCCAAATGTTTCTTAGTGCTGTTTCTAAGGGCCCATCTGTACTACAAAAATAATGGTGTAAGGGGACCTGCCTGTGTAAAAAAGTCCCATGGAATTTAATAATAATGAAAACAATTGGGTTCTATAGAAATGTAATAGTGTTCTATAGATATGATTGTGAAAACATAGAAATTACATGGAAAAGTAACTAGCGAATCATATCCATGCTATAGAATTTTTATAGGATGATTCAACTTATAGAAAAGATAATTTTATATAATGGTGAAAAACCTATGGGAAGTTTATGATTTTGTCATGAAGATGATTACAACACATCTGTCCTTTGACCCCATTACAATAAGGTTAAAATCTGTAGGCAGGACTTAATTGTGTTTCATAACCATGCTAAAGTCCAAGGCTTTTTCTTGATTGCATGCAATGGTTACAACAGGGTAAGATCCCATCAGCACAACATTCTCTTTGAACTATAAAAAGAAAAGGAGCACTTGTGGCACCTTAGAGACTAACCAATTTATTTGAGCATAAGCTTTCATGAGCTACAGCTCACTTCATCGGATGCATACTGTGGAAACTGCAGAAGACATTATATACACAGAGACCATGAAACAATACCTC